GAAAATAGATGGTTGATAAGCCGGAGGATGCTAAAATCAACGTAGACGTAACGCAACATGCAGGTCAGGTGTTTTCTCAGGAAAAATCCCCGAGGCCTGGTTATCAAACCTCTTTCCTCACCAGCAATAATTCCTGCGGTTGTCTGAACAAACTTTGCGGTTGGAAGTTTTCCGGCTGCCATGAGCAACATAAGCAAATTGACTCTCTGCACGATGAAAACAAAGCATCAAGCTCTAATCTGCAGATTGTTTAGAGTGAACGCGAGTGCAGAGCAAATTAGAAACAGGGAATGGATGGAAGATGGTTTTTAACAAAGCTCTGTTTAATGTTGCAGAACTGGGGGAGCTCTAATAATCCCTTCAGGCTTTTGTGCAAATGAAGTCTCTCCGTGAATTTTAATGAATGAAAACTCGTGCTCATATGCTAACGAGCTTCTCTTTATTTGCTCTCCTAAAATAGCAAAAAATCAAAGTAAGACAAGAGAAAGAAGGAGGGGAGGACAGGAATCCAGAGCAGCGTGAACGTAGCATGAGGTAACTGTTTACTCCAGAAATCCTCCTAAAATGTTGCTTTTTTCCTAAATAAATGATTCCCATGCTGTTGATGAGTTTCTGTTTTCCATCATAAGAACCTGAAGAGGAGCCACCATGAGAATCGGCTCTCAGTAAAGCTCTGTTTTCCTGATCTGAATGTTTTTGTTGGAAATGAAACGGAGGTACACTGCAAAAAATGTAAATCTAAGTAGGTAAATGTTTCTTAAAACGAGTGCATTTCTTCTTGAATTGAGCAGGTAAGTAAGACTCTTTGCCAATAGAATAAGACAATTTAGATTTAAAATAAGAAAAAAAGACTATAGTCTCTTACTTCAAGCGCATAATATCTAATTTATCTTATTTTAAGGGTAAAAATGCTCATTCCATTGGCAGATCATCTTATTTTCCTACTCAAATTTAAGGTAAATACACTTGTTTAAAGACATTTTTACTAATTTTCAGAACGTTTTTGCAGTGTAAGAAGCCAAACTGAACTCAACAAGCTCTGAAAGCTTCCCAGCTAGATCTACAGATGTGTGGCAACACCACAGCGTTGCTCTTGGAGACGACATTGGTCCTAAAAGTCAAAGGAACTGGGACTGACTCCATATTTTTCAGGTGAAACTGGGCAACAGAAATGTTAGCCGGACAAACCTCCATGTTTAAACATAGTAAGTCAGGCTAGCAGTCTGACTTAATGATTACTCCAAAGGCAGCTAATAATTAAAACCCTTTTTAAACCCTTAGTTTCCCTCATCCAAATTGCAAAGCAAGAAAAACCTCTTCTTTTTGTAACTTTGTATCGTCCACCAGGTCCTTACTATGAACTTTCAGAGTTCCTTTCTGATTTGGTGTTAAATACTGACAGGGTCATCATAGTGGGAGATTTTAACATCCATGCTGACATTGAAGGCGATAGCTTAAGAGCAGCCTTTAATGCTATCTTAGACACTATTGGATTTGTTCAAAATGTGAATAGTTATTCTGCAGAATCTGTTAGTTCAATCTCTAACCTTCTGCTCTCTCTGCTTTTCCTCAGAGTAGCTTTGCCTCGTCTGTTCCTGTTTGGCTGTGACGTCATCCTGGAAAAAAACATCAGCTGTGCTGCTTCTATCAACACCCTTGTTAATAGATGTTGGAGATCGGCCTGTTTTCCAGTGTGGTCCTGTTTCTCTGACCGTGACTGAGTGGATGTGCTCTCTTCGTCCTCTGGCATGGGAGCTGCCTTGGAGCTCGTCTGCCTGGCTGCGTGTTTCCTGGACGGGGCCGCCTTTTACAGCTGCTTTTTGTATCTCTGCTTCTGTCTCCTTGAACCCCAGTCGGCCTCGGCAGATGGCCGCTCACACTGAGCCTGGTTCTGCTGGAGGTTTCTTCCTGTTAAAAGGGAGTTTTTCCTCTCCACTGTCGCTACAAGCATGCTTAGTGTGGGGGATTGTATTTGAGTCAATGAGTCAATGCAATCAACTGGTTTTCCTTAGATAGAAAACTTTGTATCAATTTGACTGTATGATCTGGTTGAACTGTAAAGTGCCTTGAGATGACATGTGTTGTGAATTTGGCGCTATATAAATAAACTGAATTGAATTGAATTGAATAGTCCCACGCATTCTCATCTTCATACTTTGGACCTTATGCTGAGATACGGCATAGAATGTGAAGAAATAACAGTATTTCCTCCAACTTTACTTTAGCAGATCATTATCAGATAGTACATTTTAAAGAATCTGTTACACATTCTCTCTCTCTCTTTTATGTTGCTGAGCAGTGCTGCAGAGTTCTAAAGTTTAGTTTAAAAGCTCGTCTGCCTGGCTATGTGTTTCCTTGATGGGGCCGCCTTTTACAGTTGCTTTTTATATCTCTGCTTCTGGAGGTTTGAATCCACTTTCCTCCAAGAAGTCGTTTGAGTTTCACACTGAGCAAGGGATTAATCTGCACCACAGTCTGTTCAAGTACCGCAGGAAATCTGAGTGACAGTCAGTTTCTCTGTTCTCCTACAAGCAACCGCATTCTGGGTAAACCCTGTCCGTCCTCCACCGAATCAGACAAACACTGTAACACCCCCCCACACTGACTGGAGTCAAAGAGTCTAACACTTTACTGGAAAAGTGAGTCTGCAAACCTTTTCTCCTCTTCAAGTTCAAGAATCAATTTTCCCTCCCAGTTCCGGTTGAGCAGTGTTCAGAGCAACACTGGAATCTCCACAAGCTTCTCAGTAAAGCTGTTAAACTTTTCCCCTGGTCTCTCTGTAATGGTTTCTCTGCATTTGGGTCTGATCTTTAGTTAAATCATGACACCCCTGATCCAGCAGCTCGCCCCTAAAAACAGAATTAGAACATTTTAACTAGTTTAATATTTTTCCTTTTTAACATAAACCGATAGCAAATTCTAAAATGAAAGATGAAAGAGACCATTGTCTTTTAGGGATAATTTTTTTAGTTTTATGGGGAAGAAGGGAGAATAATGGGTTTTTAATAATTAAAAACCCATTATTTTCCACTATTTAATAATAATAATCATGGGTCAACTAATTTAGTAATCGATTATTTGTTAACTGGAGATATAGAGACTCTAAAACATGCCTCTAGCTCACAGAGTGACACACTTAGAGCAGGAATTATACCTAGATTGTAAAAACATTTATAAATATTTTGCATTTAAGATAAAAAAAAATTGTCTGTCAATCTGCTCGATCTAGAACTCCTCAAGTGGAAAAGTTTTATTTTTACCTGGTTTAATTTTGTAAAAAAAAACTTCTTTAAGGAACCTTTGGCTATCGGATTATTAATCTAAATCCATTGGCAAATTATCTTGTTTACCCACTCAAGTTAATGGTAAATACACTTAATTTGAGTATTGAAATAGTACTTCCGTAAAAGTTAAAAAAACTGAAATATAATACTGAAATGAAACTTATTTCTAGAGCATTTTTTGCAGTGTGGATCTTTGACCATTTGTCATCAATATGTTGGCAGGAAAATGAGGAGGAAAACCTGCAGAAAATAAGAAGTTGTGAATCAAATCAGGGATAACTGCTGCCTCCTTACATGGAGTCTCTTCTGAGCCACTCCCCTCCCCCTTCCTTTTTTAAAAACTGCATCGTTAACAAAAAAGAAAATGCTAAAATTCCCTCCTTGGGTTTTCTTTGTGCATCTGAGCTGAGATCGGTTTTAAATCTGCCTGCTTGTCTTTCTCAGCCGGTTGTGTTCGACTCACACATGGAACATATTAACCCCGCCCTCGGTACCGCTCAGCATTCAATGCAAGTAAAGATAAAAATCCATTCTTCAGATGTTTTCTGTCTCTGGTTGAGGTTCAGACAAAGTCCAGTCTGTTCTCTATCAATGCTTTGGGTTTTATGTCAATGTTTTAACTGTTTTCAAGCTCGTAGACGGAGAACCGTACATAAAAAGCATAAAGGAAAGCTGAAAGCAGCGGAGAACACAGCTGAAAGTGATCTTTTCAATTATCTAACATGGATTTGATGGACAGAAGGAGTCATGGCAAAGTCTCCCACTTTGACAGTCATTTAAAATGTGGTAACCCCTCTGTACACTGCAAAAAAAACTTAAATCTAAATAAGTATTCTTTTCTTGAATTGAGGAAGTAAGAGACATTTTGTCAATGGAACAAAAAAATGTACATTTAGAATAAGAAAAAAACAATTGCCTTGTCTTATTTCAAGCACATATATCTGATTATCTTATTTTAAGAGTAAAATACTCATTCTATTGGCAGATCATCTTATTTACCTGCTCAAATTAAGGCTAAATACACTTAATTTAAGACATTTTTGCTCATTTCTAGATGGTTTTTGCAGTTTAGTGCTCTATCTAGAGGTCGGATAGTGCACTATAGGAATTAGGGCTCACATTCAGACACAGTCTGTATCTGATGATCAAATACGTAAATTTTTGACAAAATTTCGAATTATAAATAGAAGAAAAAACAAAAGTCCTTACCTTTTAGCTGTTCATACAGTCTGTGAAACGTCAAATATGGCACTATATCCATTATTTACATGAAACAGCATATATGTTCTTATTATTTAAAAGATTCAGAGGGTTTCTTCCTGTTAAAGGGGGCTTTTTCCTCTCCACTGTCTCCGTATGCTCAGTTTTTGGGATAGCTGTAGAGTCATAAACAGTCATAAACATCCGTCTGGATAATGTGATCGAACCGAGTCTCTAAAGCGACCAGAGATGATGTGAATTGTTGCTATATAGAAACTTAATTTAATTTGGAAGTTTGTCTTTTTTTAATGAGCATTAGAGCAAAACATGATGACTTTTGGTAAATAGGCTATATTAACATCTAACAAGTTTAACGAGTTTCTCATCCTAACTGTTAAATGTGGAAATAAAATGATGTGTGACAGATTTCAATAGAAAAAGTGACTGAATTAAATCTCACCTTTAAAGATCAGTGGAGGAGAACTCAGAAACATGATTTAATGAAGTAAAAAGTCATTTATTTAGTAAAGAGGTTTTATTGAGCTAATCACTTAGCATACAGAATCTAAGTTTGAATGTCTAACGAGCTTCTCTATAATGAGAAAGTTTAAAATAAATCTCACTGAGACTAACGGCTTAAAGCAGAACCTGGTAACAACCGGATCTTAACCATTATACCAAACGGGGGCCCAAACGAGCCTCTGCTGTCACTAATTACCGCTCCTCTGGTTGTCATGGTGACCAGAGTCGGTGGGAAGGGGCTCGTGATGAAGATGGGCCGAGCCTGTCTGTCCAGAGTTACTAAATTCTGCTTTAAAAGAGACGAATGTTTGACCTGTAAAGGTTTTCTGAGGCGTGAGGACACTTGAGGTGCTGTTGGCTCTGAGTCTGAACACAGTTCTGCTCTGGAAGGTTCCAGATTCTTTAAAATCGCAATCAGTTTTACAGTGAAGACTATTTACACACAGACTAGAAGTAAAAGTCCACTAATTACATCCAAACAAGCTCAGAATCCCAGTGATCCCACAGTGGGAATGTTCTGTTCAGAGACACCAATGTGTCACCGGACTTTTCTACGTCCGATCTGGAAACCTGGTTCTATGTTGATGTATTGAGATGAGCTCCAGGTTTCGAAACGGGATGAGAAAAGGTTCTGATCCAGAGAGAAGCTCGGCTCTGGTCTCTTCACCCGTTTCAGAAATTCAGTGCAGTGTGGACGTGTTCCACTTCCTCCTGTGTCCTTTTCATTTCTTCCGGATCCACCTCCTCCTGGAGGAGGCGTTTCAGGACGCTGAGGAGACGCTGATGGACCCTCCGGCCTCCTGCTTCGTCTTCCTCTGATTTATCCACGCCCCGCTCTGTTTCTGAGCATTCCTGCACGGCTCGCTGCAGCTCCACCTGTTCAACGCAAACATAGAGCAGAAACATAGATCAGACTCAGACATCATCTAGCTCCAATGCTAATAGGCAGGTATCATTGTATTACACTCATTCTACATCATGTCATCCACAAGTTCAGAAAATTTCAGTCCAAAAAACATTTATAAAGCAAGTATTTTACCTCTTTTTTTTCAGTATCAGTGTTTATAACAAATTGTAACATTTATAAACCTAAAATAACATAAAACTCAATAAAAAGTTGTGAAACTGCTGCTTTTCAAGCTAAAATAAAAATATCGGAAAGTTGTTTTTGTTTAGCTTCGAGCTACGCGCATTGATCATCTCTCAGCTGTGTTTCATTCTTACGCAAGCCGGTAACACGGCTCTGCTTTATGCAACCTCACCATGTCTATCCTTGTTTGAAACCTTGTTTCATTGGCTGCAAAGCCAAACAGCCCATGTTCTCTTAACCAATCACAGCAGGACTCTATGAGGCGTATTATCGCTCTACTCGCTGCGTCATTGGCTGACAGTCCCTGACTCAAATCGAGTCGTACAAAGATGCTTCACTTGTACACTGAAAAAAGTGTAACATGTAGCTGTTCATTCAAACTAATGCTTTTCACTCTAAACTAGATAAAATTTGTTGATTTGATTGTATAACTAATTCTTTTTGGATTTTGTGACATCAAGTTTGATTGAACCTGAACTAAATAAACGTAGAAAGGACCCAAAACAAAGTTTTTGATTTCTCTCAATATGTATATATTTATTCATGGCCTTGAGGTAATTTTTTTTATCTCAGTGTAAATCCCAGACCATGACAGGCTGGCTCAGTGATACAGCGGCTGCCTTGCAGCAAGAAGGTTGTGGGTTCGGATCCCGGCCCGGGATCTTTCTGCATGGAGTTTGCATGTTCTCCCTGTGCATGCTAGGGTTCCTTCTGGGTACCCCGGCTTCCTCCCACAGTCTGAAAACTACTGTTAGCCATCTGGCTGCATTCTACTCCTCCTTCTGGGCACAGACTGAACTCCAAAACCAGGTTAGTGACTCACATGCTCCAAATCACTCTCTGTCAGATTTACATGGACACTATCCTGAGTTATTCCTCTACATAGATTCCAGCCTTTGGTGCCCTTGTTGCTAAGTTTTACATCCAACGCTTTGCTTTGAATTGTGGGTCATCAATTCTAAGCCCTGACACTTTCACTTTTTAATCTAATGTAGATGCGGATTGGTCGTAAATCATGACGTCTTTTTAATGTCTTTTAAACCAATTTTAGCTCGGTGGGATCAGGTCTGTCTGGGAAACACCTGCTCATGGTTAGATCCTAAAACATGGATGTTTTTTTGAAAGGTGAAGGTCCTGACAAAGTTCCTTCACCGGACCACTGTGGTTTTCATCCCACCGGGCAAAAAGTGGTGGAAAAGACATTGTAAAGACGACATGATTTATGTCCAAACGACGACTACATTTGGTTGAAAAGTGAAGAGCTTTAATTTTCAGATCATAGCAAAGATGGAATCTGGGTTTGTAACGTCTTTTCAACGTCTATTATTGGTTTAAAGTTGGACAAAAGCAGACCAACTAAAGCCCAATATTCAACATGGTTTGGGAATCAAGATCAAGACTATGACGGACAAACCAGATTTAGCCCAAAAAACCAACCCTTACATGACGAGTGTCCAGATCTTCCTGTTATGCATCCTAATGTATCTGCAAGGTAAAATCTGCGTCTTCTTTTTCAGTCTGTAAGATGCTACTAAAGCTGGCTGATAACGCTTACCCTGTTTGTTCTCAGCTGGTGTCTTTTAAATCTTGAAGGTTAAACTGACGATATGTGATCTAAACTGGGTGAAAAATGACCCAATTGTTTTCAGGAAAGGATTGCTAGTGGCTAACCCCTCTCCACACTGTCTGTCGCTGCTCGCCTGATCTCCATGAAGAGGAAAAGAAGTCAAGATTTCACCTGAACGTCTTTCTTCTCATCTCTGAAGTTCAACCTTTCCTCTCTGATAAAACTCATCCTGAATCTGAAACACTGCGTCAGGAATGAGTTGATTTCCCCAGAGAGTCGACTGAAGACTCTGAGGTCAGACGCCGAGGTTCGGTTGAATTGCACACATTAACATGTGAACTCATTTTACTCTGAGATATTCTATTAATATGGTTGCTTCATACATCATTCATTACATCCAATTATTTATTAATTATAACCTAATATGAACCAAACTGTTAGATATCACAAATTAATTAAAGTGACAATGTTGTTTTGCTTTTCCAGCTGATAATGTCCCTAAATCAATATAAGATCATGTTTAGGTAACACAATCTAATAACAAAACTTTAAAACATAAAGCAATATGCATTTAATAATGTGTTGAAATATTGATAATTCTACTATTACTTAAAAACTTTTGTTAGAAAGAAATCTTTTGCTTTAATTTGTTTATCATATTCTCTTTTTTGTTACCTACAGAAATTAGTCTTCTCTCTTTATTTAATAAGACAGAATTAAATTAATAATTGAAAAAAACGTTATTAATACACTTTTAAAGAATATTACCTGCAGTGGGAGTCCTGCTTTTGCCCCGAGGAGTGATGGAGAAAACCACGGCTTGAATATCTTCTCACAAATCACCTACAGAAAGGAAGAAAGAACTAAAGGTGAATGAAGAAGCAGGAAACAACATTTTCTCTTTCTAAAACTGGGGTTTGTTGGTAAAGAAACATAAAAATATCGGTAATTGTGATAAATATGACGGTCGTAAAGGTTTTGATGATTTATGGTTCCGCAGAAATTTAATTCAGGTTTGATTCAAAAGGAAACTTTGAAGAAAACAAAAAGTTCTTTCTGTATAGAGATGATTGGCAGACGGCGGGTCATCGTAGGTCATCCTCAGGAGACACCTGTGGAGCGGCAGCCAATAGGAGAGCGGCTTGTCATCGACATGTCATCAGGTCTGGTCCTCATTCTGTTTTCATCCTCTCCTCTTTCTCTCTTTGTTCTTCATTGTCTTTGTTTTTTTTTTTGCATTTTTTTCTTTGATTAGAAAATATACAATTTTAACATATTCTCAAAATGTATGCTAACCTACTTATTTTTCTTTTCATACATTAGACCTTTATGAAAAATTCCTTTTGTGTGTAACTTTATACCTTAGTTTTAGTTATATTTTAGGTCAGGCAGCTTCTCTGGTCTTTGGGAAGTTTTCTTTCTTTCTGTCTTGATCTCTTTTAGCTGTTTTTCATCCCCTTTGTCTCCATCTTCCCATCTTTGTGCATCACTTACTGTCATCGCCTGAATAAAACAGCTTCACTCCGTATGAATGCACATATCTGGTATCATGAGACATGCGATACGGCTGCCGGCAGCTTGATGACGGTTCGTCTTCCCTGTCATGGTGATGCTGGTGATGACTGAGATTCACGGCCCGAATTTTTCTGTCAGGCTTTTAGGCCTCGACTGGAGAAGCGGCAGCTGGAAGCTTTTTAAAATTTTTATCATGAACTCTATTTTTTTTTTCCTTTTTTGAGTTATTATTTTTTTATTATCATTTTACTCAGAAGAATAAAATATAAAAACTGTATATGTCCTAATTGTGGCCATTTTTGTCAAATTTTTGTAACGTTTGTGACGTAAAGTTCTATCAATTTTTCTTTAGAGCGTCTGAATATATTTAATTCATTTGGAACCAAAATATGAGAATTTCATATTTATAATTCTTTAAACATTTTGGTAACTTTTAGGCCAACTCAATTAATGTAAAAGATTTAAAATGTGCGTGTAGAGGAGACGGCCTTTGTTCGGACGATGTGACGACGGGAGGTTTCATTAAAAAATGTTTTTATATATATATTTTTTTTTTATATCTCTTTTTGACCATGTAATTATTATGATAATGATAGTTAAATATTGATTTAAAATAAATATGTTTCTATTTAATATTTTAAATGTAAAATAATGCAGTGCTAATATTTTGGATACATTTTTTTTATCTAACAGTAGAACTGAAATTCAGGGTAAAAAACAATAAATAACCTTCAACTAATGTTGATTTTAAAAATATAAAATATAAATTTTTTTTTATATCTTATCAGTAAAGAACTAAAGCCAGGAAATATATAAAATATTCATTTATTTTATTTAATTAATTGTGTTCCTGTCTGTGTTTTCATTTGAACTCATTTTGAGAAATGCTGATAAATTCAATGAACAGAATTTTTTCTTCTGTTTTTTTTTAAAGAATCATAAATAATAGAATATTAGGAAGGATCCAAATATGATTTAATGGAGATAAAATAAATAATTTTTGACATTTTTTTCTGAATTCATTTAGTTATTAAACATCTAAAATGCTGGAAGTTATCATCCTCCAGTTTATCACATTGAAATGAACTTTTCTTTTTCCTCTTTATCCTCTTTATTTTTCCTCTTAGAAACAATAAAATGTTTTTTCAAACAAATGATTAAGAGAGGACCTATAAATGACTGGATCCATGAACAAGATGGGGGGGGGATCATTTCTGAGAAGGAGCAGAATGAGAAGCAGGGATATCAGAACCTCAGGCTGTTTGTATTTTTATATTTTTCTACCTTTAGGTCATAGATTTGCTTTCACATTCCTCCTGATTAAATGCGTTAATTGACTGTGAATTCTGATTGGCCAGCATGAACGAGTGTCTCACCTGCAGGTTGGTGTTGCTGCGGTGAGGACTGCACCTGTGCTTGAGCGGGTCACACCTGGACGAACAGTCGAAGAAGTTGCAGTCGTCGTCGCTGCTGCAGTTCTGCTCCAGGATGTCTCTCATCTTCGGCTCGAAGAACGCCATGTCCACGTCGATCGCCACCACCTGCAGTCCCACACAACAGCTGATTACGACAAATAATGAGGAAAAAAAATATAAACCTCAAACATTTTTCCAGCGTCGTTGATAGAATAATGTGATTCTAAAATAAAATATGGAGGATTGAAAACAATAAGAAGCTTTACTGAAACAGGATTAAGAAAATGTTCTGATCTAAAATGCAGGATCTGGTGAAAGATTTTATATATTAAACTAATATAAAACATACAGTATATATGTGTGTATGATAATAAATAAATAGATGAATTAATATTATAATTATAATTAATCCTAATTTTGTGCGGACTGTAGGAATTGCCTAACTTTTTAATTACTGGATTCAAAAGATTTTTAATATATAGCTTTTTATTGTAGTGAAATTACTAAAAACTATGTTTAAAATAATATATTTAAACTCACATCAAGAGAAAGAAGAAAAGGAACAAATTATATTAATAAAATGTGATTTTATAAAGATTTTATCTTTATATAAATTATTTATAGTGGAGATTTTTTTTTTAGATTATTGATTTTTTTTGGTCTCCTTATATAAAAAAAATTTATTTACTATTTTTATTTATTCTAATATTTTTTATTAATATGTACCTGATGAAACAAGATGCTAAAGACTGTGTTTGTGATTTGAAGCTTAGATTAATTTTAGTTTGTTTTTTTTTATCTCGTTTCTAATTTTTGAGTCATTGCATAAATAATTTTTGTAAAATATGATATTTTTTGTAGATTCTGGATATTTTATTGGTCATTTTGAAGAGTCTGGGTGTTTAAAATAGAAAGAGGAGAAAACTGGAGAGTAAAATGTAGATGACAAAAAAAAAAAAAAAGAATAGAAAAGCTGAGACTTAAATTTTGCTTTAAGAGTAAGAAAAGCAAAAATAAAATAAAATAAAATTGTACCTACTGTTGTTAGTCATTGTTAAAGCAGCAAAGCAGCTGATAGAAAGAATATCTGGTTCGAATAAAACTTTTTAATACATTTATTTTCTAGAAGTTTAAATCATTATGGTAAAAAAATAAATAAATACTGGAAAAAAATAGAGGGAAAATGTTAAATTTATTTCACGTCAGGGCTAGATGATAACAGCTTAAATCTTTCAATAAGGAAAAATAATCCAAAGACAATGATTTAGATTATATCTGGTTTGGATTTATACTAAGAAACACTTTGTTTTTCTTTTTCTCTCGCAAGTTTTCTGAGCAGCTGTGAGAAAATCCAAGGTTTAGATCCAGCTCTAATTGTTGGCAGGAGCCTGGAGGAGACTTTATGTGGTGTAGACGGATTTATGGTCGAAAGAAACGTAAAAAAAAAAATGAAGCAGCTGCGAAAGTCGAGCTGAAAGTCTGTGTTTCATTTCCTCAGATTTTTAAAAACAGTAAAACCCAGAAGGTTCAGTTTTCTTTGCCGTTCACTGGTTTTCATTTTAAAGCTGAAATAAGCAAACTTTAATGATTAACTTTAACATTTACATGGCTTTATTTATTTTTATTTAATTTACCTAAAACTTTATATAAAAAAAGTGTAAAAATCAGGACCAGAGTTTAATGTTTCTAATCTTCCTGCCAAAATCACATTCTTCTATGTAACAGTTTCTGCTGTAGGTCAGTGGTTAAACTAAAGGGCCATAAAAAAGGTCATAAGTTTAATTTATAAGGTGAAAGGTTTTTTATTTGTTTATTTTAGATTTTAATGATGTCTACGTCTTTAAAAAAAACAGTTTTTGCATCTTAGGCCTGTTTTCGTTCTGTAGAATTTTGCTTCTTTAAGGCTTTCACTGCAAAAAAATGGAAATCTAAATAAGTATTTTTTTTCTTAAAATAAGTGCATTTGTTCTTGAAGTCAGGAGGTAAGTGAGATACTTTGCCAATGGAACAATTTACATTTAAAATAAGAAAAAGCAACCGCATCGTCTTATTTCAGTGCATAATATCTAATAATCTTATTTTAAGAGTAAAAATACTCATTCCATTGGCAGATCATCCCATTTACCTACTAAAATGAAGGGTAAATATGCTTGATTTAACAAATTTTTACTTATTTCTAGACCATTTTTGCAGTGTTTAAGCTTCGCATTTACAAAAATGTTGGTCATTTACTCTGGAAAAAATCTAAATAAGTCATTTTTTCTTAAAATAAATGCATTTTTCCCTGAATTGAGGAGGTTAAAGAGACATTTTGCAAATGGAACAAGATAATTTACATTTAAAATAAGAAAAAAAACAATAGCATTGTCTTATTTCAAGTGCAATTTATCTAATTATCTTATTTTAAGACTCTAAACATTCATCCAATTGGCAAATCATCTCATTTACCTACTCAAATTAAGGGTAAATACACTTAGTTTAACTTCCAGAAAACTGTAAAAGTGCGGAAAGCCTGAGTTCCTTTAAATTAAGACTAAAAACACATTTGTTTAGGATTGCCTTCGACTGTTCTAGTTAAACAGTTAAACTAAAACATATTTTCTTTAGTCCAACTTCTTTTTTTGTTTCTGCATTTTTTATTTTATTTTATTTTTTCCTACTTGCTTTGATTCTGTTTTATCTTCCTGTATTTTAATCATGTGAAGCACTTTGCATTGTCTTTGTACTGAATTGTGCTATACAAATAAATTTACCTTGCCTTTGCCTTAGTTTAGAAAATAAGCAAAAATTTCCTAAATTAAGGGTAAATATTTACCCTTAATTTAGGATTTTTTTTAAACTTATTTCTAGATTGTTTTTCCAGTGTATTTATTGCCACATAATTCACCAAACATAATAATATTTAAAATGTTCCTACATTTATCTAAACGTTTCTGTAGATTGGATTTTTTTCATGAAGCTTATTCCTAAAAACTTCAAACATTTTACCTTTTCTAAATGCTGATTATTGTATTATTCTCATTCTTTTTCTGTATGAAAAAATAAATGTTGCTTTATTCATGTGGGTTGAAGGATAATTAGCAAATTATACAAAACGGCTGAAAAATTTTAAAAAGGATTAAAAGTTTTCCTTATAATGAGCCAAACTGGTTACAGCAGCTGAGGACTGATTGCACTGCAAAAAATAGAAATCTCAATAAGTTATTTTTTCTTAAAATAAGTGCGTTTTTCCTTGAATTGAGGAGGTAAGACAATTTGCCAAAGGAACAAGACAATTTCCTTTTAAAATAAGAAAAAACTATTTTATTGTCTTATTTCAAGTAAATATTATCTAACTATCTTATTTTAAGAGTAAAAATATTCCTTTCATTGGCAGATCATCGTATTTACCTGCTCAAATTAAGGGTAAATATACTTAATTTAAGAATTTTTTTACTTATTTCTGGATTGTTTTTGCAGTGTGGGAACATCTGCAGGAGAAAAGAAAACGTCTCAGCGACGATAAAAAGGCTCCGATTTCTGATGAGGATCCAGGTTTGAGTCGAGGCTCTGAAAGCTGAAGCAGCTGAAGCACCAAGCAGAGGAATCAGGCCGACATGAACTAAACCTCATGGAGAGTCAGGAAGGAAACCCGAAGCTTTATATGAAGTAATAACAACCGTTAAATGATGTTTTTTAATTCAAACACGTTATAATGTTTTTACTTTTTCATTTCTGTTTTATATCTGTTTTTAAAACTGAAGCTCATTGAATAAAAACTCAATTTTCACCCCATTATTAACCCGGATTTTAATACTTTATAATAAGTAGTTTTACCCTTACGGCATAATAAAAGCTTTTAGGCACTCATTTTTTTCTCATTAATCTCAGCTTGAGGGAAACTTTTCTCTATTTATGTTTAATTAAGAGCTAAAATTAGACACATTTACCAGATTTTACCAAACAGGCGGGTGGAAATAAGCAACATTTGAAGCTTAAATTCAATCCTTTAAAGTCAACTTATTGAAGTGGTTCTTAACAAAGATATAAAGCTGCATGCACAAAATCTAGTTTATTGTTTGTTTGTTAAAAAGAAAATAATAATGACTGGAGCACATTTTAATGTCCTATTTGCACGTAAGCATTCTTAAAAAAGCTAAAACTTAGTTTAGGCAGTAACTTCCATATTTAGGTTAAATATGTCCTACATTTAGAATAGATGATGTCTGACAGGTTAGACATTGTTAAGACCAACATTTCTATTCTGCTCAAATAGCAGGGGTTGAAAGTAACGAATTACATTTACTCAGGTTACTGTAATTGAGTACTTTTTATGAGTAATTTGTAATTTTCTGAGTAGTTTTTGAAATATGTAATATTTACTTTTACTCGAGTAAATGAGGGAACGATGTGATAATGCAGTGCAACAGCAAAACTGAGCTTTCGGCTTTTAAAACATCAACATCCAATTTAGGTAAAAATGTGGCGGTAAGTAAGTTATCATGGTGTCTGTTGGACAGACACTTTATGGTTCAGGCTGTGACTGTGAGAAAGTTTGTTTTTTAGCCCAGCTGATCGTTTGCAGTGTGGATGTCCACTGAAATACGCCTTGAAATCGATTAAAACACCTTGTGCTCAATTCGATTCACGACTCATCCTTTTTTTGCATTAAATAACTCAAAGTAACTAAGTAACTTTTACCCAAATTACATTTTAAATGAAGTAATTTTGTACTTTTACTTGAGTAAATTTTGAGATGGGTAATTTTACTTTTACTCTGAGTAGAATTTAGGCAAAGTAAAGATACTTTTACTCAATTACAATTTTTTAGTACTCTTTCCACCTCTGGTCAAAGAGTCTTTAAGGTTTTTTTTTGGCAAAATTCCATTTTGGCCCCAAACGGTTATAATTAATTTGCTTTAAATGCTTTTATTTGTTCTTCTTTTAAGCTAAAGCTGCATTAGTTGTTGGATACAAAAAAAATAAAATAAAATCCAACGTTTCAATCCCACTGGGAGTCAGGGGCGGATTTACCATTAGGCAGGTGCCTAGGGCCCCAAGTTCCTGGGGGCCCCATAAACCTCTGTTTACCTGTATTCCTTATTCATGCACATGAATAAATTGCTGTTTTTGATAAAAAATCATTTCGCTAAAATGTCATCAGAACGCTGATAAAATTAAGTGTGTCTCAGCTTCACAGAGTCAATCCTAACCCTAAAGTCAGTCCTTTCCTTTCGCAGAATTTATTAATCGATTTATGTGTAATCTGAAAATAATTTCAGAAGTTCTACATGTTCTGTAGGAATAAATAAATAAAAATAAAAAGATCTGCATGTCGCTCATATTAAAGAAATGAAAAACAAATAAATCTCATATCCTGTCAACTGGGCTGTAGAATCCTCTCCTCATAAATGATTAATTCTCTGTGAAAAAAACGCAGATCCTCATCTAACGGACGTTCAATGTTTGTTTTTTAAACCTAAAGTGTGTAACGAACTGGTGAATGATTATTATGTTGTTTTATGCAAGAGCTACGACAAAAAAACGACTAAATCGCGGAAAAAAACGGCATTCTTGGATGTAAGGAGAGCAGAGACAGAGGAAACTATGCAGTGCGTATTACTAATTATCCCACTAATCGTCCGCCATTGAGTACGTTCTTGTGATTGGCTTATACAAGGGAGCTCTGTGATTGGTTCCAAACTCTTCCTGGTATATTGTGTATTGATGCATGTAAAGAGAGTCTAGAAAAATCCACACACATGCAGTGAAGTTTGAAGACCACTGGTACTGCACTGTAATTTAATTTATAATTGTTTATGGACCAGAAATGCATTGGCGAATCATGTGCTGTGCATGTGTGGATCTTGTATGCTTGCGTGAATTGTGATGTGTGTGATGTGTGTGTGGAGATTGTCCTGTGCAAGTATGAATCACATGTGTGTATTTGTGAAAATTGAGACCCATTTGGCTCCATCAAACTCACCGTCAGATCCTTCCTGATTGCAAAGTTCTCTGGTTTGATGTCACACAGGTGCAGCTGGTGGGTGAAATCGTTGTCAAAGTGCCACACCATGTCTAAGAAGCTCAGGGCGATCTGATGCACCATCTGCCTGGTGGTCCACCTTGCAGACGCCCCAGCGTGGCTCTGATCCAGCATCCTGGGAACAACCACCTCCTCCATGGAGAAGATGTTCTGGTCCCACGTATGTCCGGCTGACAGATACTCGACAGCGTAGAAGTGGCCGCAGGAGCCCAACACCTTGGCCACATGGGGGCTGAGGTCCTGCAGGACTCTGGAGAACAAGGAGGGAACGTTTAAAAGGGACAATATGATAAAAAAATTACTGTTTTTACCCTTTCTAAAATGTTGCTCATTTGGCTTTCTTTGAGCAATCATCAGCATTAGTTCGCTCTACCTGCTAGAGTAGAGGGTTAGCGGAGAGTTGAACTCTCTCCTCATAATGGAGGATGGAGCAGAGGATCAAAACTACAACTTTCAAACTACCTCAGGAGAAAAACATGGAACAGACGTTGTTGCAAAACCAGAACCTGCACATAAGAACATTTTCCTTTGGGATCGATTCATAGAGTGCAGAAAAGTTCCAAAAACTAATTTAATGGATCTATTTCATTCTTTTTCTTTACAAATTCTGTTTCACTAATTATTCTAAAACAATAAGGTGATAGCTTCAGTGGTTTTAAGATAGGATCCCAGATTTCATTTATTTTTTCACAACAAATAAAAATCCTTTACAGATTAACAGTTTATCTTGAGTTCTAATTGAAATTTTATAGAAAACAGTAGTTTTAAATTAAATTAAGTGAAAAATATGTTAAAGTCCTAAATTATAAATGTACATTAACCTCATAATAAATAGAATTTTTATTGAACCTCATTAAAAAGAAATTTCCCTTTATGCAGCTCTCTTAATATATTTGAATCTCTTGCCCTGTTCATTTTTTAAAGTTTTTTCTGGGCCCCCATGAAAACATGCTGGCCCCCCCTACATTTGGTCTAGATCCGCCACTGTTCCTCACCTAGGGCTGCAACTAACGATTATTTTAAAAACCGATGAATCGGCCGATAATTTTTTGATTAATCGATGAATCGGACAAAAAATATTTTTTTTATATTAACCTCTTTATTCCAAAATAAACATTATAGACAGAACAAACAAGCACACAAGTACAGGTTGCTCATTAACTGTACTGGTGCAATATGAAAAATAAATGATTGTGTTAAAACTACGCAAACTTACATGAGAAATGTAGCTGTACATCCACAAAATATAGGGTACTTTGTTTCATAAAGCGCAAAAAAAGACATTTTTGTTTTTAAAGCCCCTAAGGGGTTCAAACAATAGGCCCCCCCATTTCAACAAATGAGTTTTTTTTTAGACTAGAAGAGTTCTGCCTTTTAAGACAGGAAAGTACAGCAGTTAAAGTTGCTACTTGAGAAAATACTGAACCATAGAGATAAAAATAGCCCTGTGATTCAAATTATAAATTGTATTTGGAATAAAAATGAGAGAACTAGGGGTGCTAAAAAACACATCCTCCAAAGACAGATATTTACATGGGAATGTGGCAAATAATGAATTGACATATTACTGATTTTGCTGGATTTTATTCTGCTTTACTTCCATAAATTGCAGGATCTTCTTTACTTTATCTTTGCCAGAAGATTTAAACTTTAAAAGCCTTGCCCTCATAATTTGCAACTTAATTTATTTATAAAGGCTATTTTAATTATTGTGATCAATTTGCGCCGTCAATCCCGGCGCATGCGCGCTTCATTTGCAGTCTGGACGCTGAGGGTAAACATCCTGCGGCTCTGACTGCAGCGCTGAGAGGGACTCCTGTGGGAGCGGGGGGAGGCGCCTCACGGCAGAGTAGGAACGATGCATGCTTTCACGTAAGAGTCTCCAAAAGCCGCCAGTGACATCGTAAAAAGTCGCCAGATTTGTCGCTAGTCGCTTTTATGAAAAATAGTCGCTGGAGGGGTCTGAAAAGTCGCTAAATATAGCGACAAAGTCGCTGAGTTGGCAACACTGCGCACCTACAGCGCTGGCTCGCTCTGCCGTAATTTTTTCTTCTTCCCCTGTTTCAGTCAAGTGGCAGTGATGACGGCGGCGGCGGATGACGCATTAATTGCGCGACACAACTCGTCGATGATGAAATTCGTTGCCAACGCTTTTAAAAGTGGATTTTTATCCATTTTATCGATTCGTTGTTGCAGCCCTATCCTCCCCTTCACTAGACGTGGATATACTTTAGTATATTCTGCTGTAGAATTAGTCCTATATTTTCAGCTTTTTACTGGAGGATTGAACCTCTGCCGTTTCCCAGGATGCACAGCTTTGAGTGGTAACTAGGTCACTGCCAGAGAGGAACCAGAGAAACTTATGGGACTGATTCCGTAAAAATTCAAAAAATATCCACTGGACTTGGTTTTCAAGATTTGAAGACGTTTCTCCACCTCTCCAGGAAGCTTTCTCAATTCAAATGTCTGGATCCGCAGTGAGTTTGAGTCTTATATAGACAACGCCTTGTATCGCTTGGAAACATGCAATGGTAACCGATGAATGGGTCGTTAGTTCCATCGTTAGCCTGTAATATCTGAACCTGTCTATGATTCTAGGGGTCGGTCGTTAAAGGGGGGATTGTCATTAAGGGGGGGATTGTCTCCTGTAATACCTGAAACCTGTCTATGATTGTTAAGGGACTGTTATGGGACTGATCCAATCAGCTCTCTGATCTGATCAACCAGTCGCCTGGAACGCTGGTTGATCAGAGCATCGCTTTGGACAGATACGCTGCAGGTTTCACCAGCAACATCCTCCTCACACCCCGCTCCCTCTCGTGTCTGCGCAATCGCAGTGATCTAATCAGCACATGATGCTTTATTGAACTCACTGCAAAAAAATTAAATCTATATAAGTCCTTTTTTCTTAAAACGAGTGCATTTTTTCGTGAATTAAGGATTGAAGTGAGACACTTTTCCAATGGAACAAGACAATTTACACTTTAAACCAGAAAAAACTGTTGCATTGTCTTATTTCAAGTGCATAATATCTAGATAGCTTATTTTAAGAGTAAAAATACTCATTCCATTGGCAAATCATCACATTTTTACTCATTTTGAGATTGTTTTTGCAGTGCTACCTGCTCGCTCTCACTGGCATTTAAAAAAACCCACCTCCCATAGTCTAAAATCCGGGATAATTTATCCGACTCGTGGGCAACCGTGAACAACTTTCCATATCAGGGAGACTCCCGGAACTTCTGGGAGACTTGGGATGTCTGAGAGTGTGTAAATCAAAAAGTAAGGTAGAATTCCTTCTTATAACCAAATGTGGTAATACTTTAGGTCCCTTCCAATGACCTTTGGTCCCTTCCAAAAACCTTTGATCTCGTCTAATAAGCTTTTCACAGTCAGAACCAAACCATTTGAACCCAGGGCTACTGTTCTGACTTACTGTTTTACACATTTAGATACTTTAATCTCTATCCGGGGAAAGATTAGATTAGATTGGTACATTATGTTTATCAGCAAACATGACAATAAGAAAAATTATTAACCTGTAACCAGGTTTGAATCATAACATTTATACATAACCCCAAAAATATACATTTTAAATCCAACTGTTATACTTTAGGTTGGTAGAAGAGAAATAGGTGATTTATTAAATGTTGGTTCTAAATGTCTTCTAGATAGAAAATAATAACTGAGGAAATAATAACCGACTCCACTCATTGTTTCTCATCATGGCTGCCGTTTCGTTCTACCTGAGGAAGGTGTACTCCTCCTGCTGAAGCAGCGACCACAGAGAACTCAGCTCTGCTCTGGAGTAACTCCTCTCTCTGATTTTCAGTTTCTTCCCCCAAAGTCTGGATAGAGTGCTGCTGTTTCCTCCTCCTCCCTCCTCATCCTCGCCATCCTCAGACAGACCCAGAGAGTTTCGTACCTGTGATCAGAAGAAGGCAAACAGTAAAGTCTGAAAGAGAGCAAAGAGTCGTTCAGCTGAGGTGACTCACCTCCATGGTGGCGTAAAAAACCACATCGAAAGCCGACAGTTCCTCTCCTGCATCCTGAGGAACAGAGAAAATAGATGAATCCATGAACGTATAATCATTTTTTATAAAGGATTACTTCATGTAATTGGTCTCATTAAAACAATAAACGTTTGTGTATTTCATTCTGACATATTTTTAAATAGATCAACAAGAAAATAGTTAATTATTGACTGGATGGATGCATTGGAAGGAATTTACATCTCAATAAGTAATTGTTTCTTAAATTGAGGAGGTTAGTGTGAAACTTTGCCAATGGAACAAGACAATTTACATTTATATTAATTGCATATTATGTAATTATCTTATTTTAAGAGTAAAAATACTCAGTCGATTGGCAATCATCTTATTTACCTGCTCAAATTAAAGGTAAATACGCTTAATTTAAGAAATGTTGACCTATTTCTAGATCGTTTTTGCAGTGTGATGCTTGGTCCCAAAAGTCTAAAAGGTGTGGCGTGATTTTATGCTGAATCTCCTTTACTTTACTTTTATTAAAATAAACGTCTTAAATAAATTTTAGTGGAAGCAGCAAAGAGTCAAAGTGTATCTCTGGAGAAGCTGCAGAGCTTCCCAGCTCAGGTGCACTGGAAAGAAATCTAATTCGAGACAAGTAATTTTTTCTTAAAATAAGTGCATTTGCTCTTGGATTGAGGAGATAAGAGACACATTTTGTCAATGGAACAAGAAAATTTACACTTAAAATAAGAAAACACAATTGCATTGTCTTATTTCAAGTGCATATTATCTATTTATCTCATTTTAAGAGTAAAAATTCTCATTCCATTGGCAAATTATCTCATTTACCTGCTCAAATTAAGGATAAATACATTTAATTTAAGAAATTTGTTCTTATTTCTAGATAATTTTTCCAGTGCAGGTACACTGGAAAAAAATCACAATCTAGATAAGGAATTTTTTCTTAAAATTAGTGCATTTGTTCTTGGATTGAGGAGGTAAAAGATACATTTTGCCAACGGAACAAGACAATTTACATTTAAAATAAAAAAAAAGCAACCGCATTGCCTTATTTCAAGTGCATATTATCTAATTATCTTATTTTAAGAGTAAAAATACTCATTCCATTTGCAAATTATCTCATTTAACTGCTCAAATTAAGGGTAAATACATTTAATTAAAGAAATGCACTGCAAAAACAATCTAGAAATAAGTAAAGATTTCTTAAATTAAGTGTATTTACCCTTAATTTGAGAAGTTATGTAAGAGGATTTGCCAATGGAATGAGTATTTTTACACTTAAAATAAGATAATTAGATAAAATTCACTTGAAATAAGAAAATGCAATTGTTTTTTCTTATTTTAAATGTCAATTGTCTTGTTCCATTGGCAAAGTGTCTCACTTACCTCCTCAATACAAGAAAAAATGCACTTATTTTAAGACAAATTGACTTATTAAGATAAAAATTTTCTGCAGTGTGTATACATATTTCTGTATAGTTTTTCCAGTGTAGATCACATAGTCCAACCTATTCTCATTATGAGTTTGTTTGAAATCGTACGAAAAGTTATGCAGGGTAATTTTGTACGTTTTGGACGTTTTTTTTCGTCGTATGCGCATCTGACGCACCATTCACGAATATAGAATATAAATTACAATTAGCCCTAACCCTAAGATATAAAACAGCAAGCAACGTAGTTAGAGACATGAATAAGTGATGATTGCACTGTTTTTCCCAGTTTTACATCCATCCGCGGATCTGCTTTTTTTTTCTGTCTGCCAGCGCATGCGCACTGATGTGGTTTTATTAGCAAAAATGTCCAAAACGTACGAAATAGTGTGCATAACTTTTCATATGACTTCATAAGAACTGATAATGAGAATATGTTGCATAGTCACACATAGCGACCTAGTCACAGCCCAGAAAGGTTGTGCTTTTAAAGTGCAGATCAGATACAGCACACATGTGGAGGAGACTATAGGATCAGATGATACAGGAAATTAGCTTTTCAGAAAAAATACTAAACCTTTGCTGCTTCCTGTCCTGTAAAATACAGAATTGTCCTTTATTTAGCAGCTAAAAGTTTTTCTCATAATGAACCAATAAAGGTTACGATCTGTTCTGTATTTTCATTATTTGTCTCTAGTAAAGCATTGTCACACTAGCCTGGTGAGACCATCCTGATCTCGCGAGCTTTCAAGGTTTCACTCGCAGATCAGTCTGGAGACTCTCCGTTAAAGAAAATTTGGAGCCGTTCACCAAACGAACGTCCAATCAGCGTTGGCTTTGAGGCAACGAGAAGCGCGACAGTTCAGTCTAAAGAACATGGCGGCTTCAGCCGATGAAACTAGCGTTAGCGTGGCTATCGAGCAAGTTTTATGGGAATTACAGAGTATTTCTTCACTGAAAGAAGAGCAAAACACTGCTCTGGAGGCTTTTCTCAGAGGAAAAGATGTTTTTGCTCTTCTCCCGACTGGTTTCGGCAAGAGTTTGATCTATCAATTGGCTCCTCTTCGTCGTCGCTCTGTTAGTACGTCATATGCTTCGTTGATCTGATTGGTTTATTTGGCCCGTCTATCACCAACATAGGCCAATCAGCTAACCAGTATTTTCGCCCCTTCCCAAAATTACTTCTGCGGAGCAAATCCATCTGGCGGAGTCAGGTTATCGTCACACAGCAACAGAAAATCTAACAAACATTTACAAATTAAACTGCTAGAGGGAGTTAAATTGTCCGGGGGGACAAACACGTGGTTTTTAGTCGTACAGTGTGAGCAGGTAGATCGCAGTGTCACAGTGTTTGAACATACATAGTGAGATGGGAACCCTGCGGTTTCATCGTACAATGCAACGAAAAAAAATCATACAGTATATGCCCGGCTTTATCGAGCTATAGACGTCCTTTTTTAACTACCGGTAATGAATTGTAGGTATACATGGAAAGCTAACCTTAGACACACAAATGTTTGAGTAAAACATGGTGGTGGCAGCATCATGCTGAGGTCATAACTTTAAATCTAAAACTTTCCACTACTTCATAAGTTGGTCTGTCAGAGAACTGCAGGAATAAGAAGACTTTAACCAAAGACAGCGAAGCGTCTGAGCAGCGCAGACGTCACCTGGTAGTCCAGGATCCCCAGCGGCTCGTAGGAGGAGAAGTTCTCCAGTTTGGATTTCAGGATGACGGGGTTTCCTCTCCAGTGAGCCTCGATCACCTTCTTCCCGTTCTCGTAGTAGAGGCAGCGCTTGTACTCCACCAGGCCGTGGACGCACAGGTCCTCACACATGTCTCCGGTGACAGATCCCTGGTAGAACTCCACACACTGCAGAGAACAGAAAGGAAAACTCAGAATTATTTATTCTACTTCTCCAGACCAACAAATCACTAAATCTGTTCTTTTAAATACAGATTTCCTTCTATGGCTTTAGTTCATCCCAGTGGAACATGAAGCTGTTTGTGTTTGAAGCTAAAGACCAGCATCTTGTGACCGAATGAGCCCACGGATCAGAAAACGCTACACAGACAGCTTAGTGTCCAGAGGCGTGAAGGACGGGGATCATCCCTGTTCTGTTCAGGGATTAGCGGGATAATCGTGGCTCTGCCCACATTCCTACACAAACATCCGTCAGTGAGGAGCTCAAAGGCGTCAAACGCACCTGCTGCTGCTTTACAGGCTTCTAAAAACACACACGGATCAAATACGACTCCTAAACTGACTTCTGAGCAGCTGATCTGTAGGTCAGGATCAGATAAACCCTGTAGGAAACAGGAATCCTCTTAAAGAGGCAGGAAGCGCAGCAGACAGGTGAGGCAGGTATGCAGACGCCTTAATCGCTCCGAGAGGCAGAGGAAAGTTGATGACAGCCGAGCGAAGACAAGCGCCTCCTTCATCTTTCAGCGCCGCGCGGCTGATGGGTTGAAGTGGGAACTTTAGATCATATGTTTCATTTGGAGATAAGACTACAAACGTGGACAGATTCACTGGATCTGATCCGTTTTATGAGGGAGAAACTTTATTCCAGATTATTCTCCATCCTTGATCATCATCAACACCAATTCTATTCAGTTTATTTCTATTCACAACAAATGTCATCTCAAGGAACTTTACAGATACAGTTCAACCAGATCATCCAGTCAGATTGATTCAAAGTTTTCTATCTAAGGAAAACCAGCTGATTGCATCGACTCATTGACTCTTCAGCAATCCCTCACACTAACTATGCTTGTAGTGACAGTGGAGAGGAAAAACACAGTTTTAACAAGAAGAAACCTCCAGCAGAACCAGGCTTAGTGTGAGCACCCCCCAGACCCCCCACCCCTAATATATGTGATGTTATGTGATTTTTCACTGAAACTGAAATCTCGATTACAATGCAAATTGTAGTTGACAATAAAGATTGATTGATTGATTGATTAATTGAGTGATTGAACTCTTGAGGTCACAAAGTCCGTGGTCTGCCTTTAACCCTCTAATGCCAAATGTATCATATCTGATACATACGGTTTCTGAAATGTTTTGCGTCTGACACCTTTTGCATAATTTAATGGTAAAAACTTTGCTCAAAATCCTGTTGTTCACAATCAGATATAGCTGATAACAGCCAGTAGAAGACTACACAAAAAATAATCTTGACTTATCGCATAGTAATAAATTATTAATATCAAAAATGTATTTCTGTTTTTTCTTTTTGCATATTTTGTTAAAAGGGCAAATAAGGACTTCAAACCAAAAAAAAGTAATTTTCTGTTTTGTTTTATTCTTGGATCAGGCTTTAAAGGGTTAAAGAAAGTTACTTGTGTTGGGTAGAGTAGAGTAGAGTTAGGTTTTGCTCTTATAAGTAAATTGTTTTTAATTACTCCACCAAATGTAACTAGTTACTCCAGGCCGACATTTGACTGACATTAAAAGTTAAAAACCCAGTTGTCAGCATGTGAGGATTTAATAACTGAGGGTTAACTAAAGCTCCCTGTTTAACCTTTCGGCCTCAGGTGAACTTTCAAAAACACATGTGGTGAAAATTGGTGAAAATAAGTCCAGTTTTCTTCAGAAGATTCTGGAATGAGCAAAGATTCTCTCCTTGGGCCTCAAGCTGTCCCATTTTGTTGAAGTCAGAGTTCTGCCAAAAGTGCACATGTGATAAATACACAGAATACAGTTTTATTTAAACGCCCACATGAAAACTACCTTCCATCTGCATTTTGAATGTTTTATAGGTTCAGATTTAATACCATGACCCCCAAATATAAGCTCCTTCCCTGCTCTCCTGGCCTGCTGTTCATGCTCCTGTAGAATCTCTCCTCACATGTCTTTCCTCATTCGAAGCTAAACTAACTTTCTATTCAGCTTCCAGCTACTAGCATTGTGTTTATAAAGCGGTCCATTGATGAAGGAGGTGACTGTTGGCGTCAAGGTTGGTGGATGTGGATGAGGACCCAAATACAGAGCTGGACAGGCAGAGATGACTTCTTGCAGATAATAAGAAATGAGATGAGCTGAGGCTTTGAGGCTTTGTTGAGTTGTGGATTGGGAATTTCTGCGAAGCGCGTATTCTAGGCTTCCTTCATTTAGGGGAGGGGCCAAAACTAATTATGTCCGAACTCTCGAAACCCCGCCATACCACCTCACTGCTTTGAGAAGTGGTCCAGAACTTCGACAGGCATCTAAAGAGCCTCAGGATTCAGTCCTGATGTGGGAGTTTGCTGTAGAGCTGCTGTCAGTTGGATAGTGTGGATATATTCTAAGTATAGATTGGTTGTTTTTTCCAACTAACCTAGTTGGTTTAAAACAAATTTGGTTTGATCAAACAATATGATTATCAGAATTTGAACAAATTTTGCTTTCTGAGGATGAGGCAGTATAGACGTGGCGTCTTCTGTAAAACATTACATTTCAATTGAAAAGCTGTAGATTTGAGGCTATGAACTTTTAAACGTTGCTGTACTACCAAACAAGTATTTTGGCCAAAGTGACCAATTTGTATTAGTTTGCCTGTTTTCCAATATAGATTGGGTGAAAACACTATCAAATTATATTGGTTGGTTTAACTAAAAGTTATGATGAACACAGAACTTCCAACCCGATTAAAAGAAAAAACTGTGGAAAAACAATCATTTTTGAATAAAACTGACTAACACCTTCCAATTGGCTCATTATTACCCAATTATCACAAGCACTTCCACTGTCTGCTTGGCTTATTTCACTAAAATGACAGAAAAATAACATATTTTCTAAGACATTTTACAAAAAAAAAAATTACAAAGGATTTTATTATAAACACCAATCATTAACAATTTCAAGGGAACCTAAATGGAGAAAAAACAAAAGGAAAAATTGCAAAAAATCGCAAATTATATCATTAACTGTAGTTCTGCACTCCACCAGTAGATGGGGACATATTCACATGAAGCTTCATGAACTGTGGGGATTGTTGAAGTAATTAGCCAAAAACGTCTCATGAGGCTTAATTTCACCTTCACTACTTTCAGAATTTAAAAGTGAAAATACAGAATCCATAATCCAGAACCAATTGAAAGAAACTCAGGAATCAATAAAATAGGAAACACCAGAGAGTTCTAGACCTAAGGAATGACGTGAATCCACCAATGAGTAACGGAACAGGAGGCAGAAACAATGGCAGGACTGATTAGCTAATAGGGAGCAGGTTTAGACAGAAGTAACTAGAAGGAGTTCAGGAGAAAGGACACTGGGGGGCAACAGAGAATAACCAGGGAGAAGCAACAGGATCTAAAAGTAACTAGAAAAGAGCTTAAATAAGGAAAAAGGGGAATAAAAGTAATGATTACAAAATAAAGACTGACCAAGGGAAGAATTTACCCTTTAATTAAGGGTAAATACACTTAATTTAGGAAATTTTAAACTTATTTCTACATTGTTTTTCCAGTGCGATTCACTCATGCAATAGAAAAACAATCTAGATATAAGTAAGTATTTCTTAGATTAAATGTATTTACCCTTGATTTGGGTAGGTAAATAAGATCATTTGCCAATGGGGTGGAGATTTTTACTCTTAAAATAAGATAATTAAATAAACTTCACTTAAAATAAGACGATGCAATTGTGTTTTCTTATTTCAAGTGTAAATTGTATTGTTGAATTGGTAAAATGTCACTTTTACCTCCTCAATCCAAGAACAAATGCACTTATTTTAAGAAAAAATGACTTATCTAGATTTAGATTTTTTCCACTGCAAAAATGATCTAGAAATAAGTAAAAATTTCCTAAATAAAGTGTATTTACCCTTAATTTGAGTAGGTAGATGAGATAGTTTGCCAATGGAATTAGTATTTTTACTCTTAAAATAAGATAATTAAATAAACTTCACTTGAAATAAGACAATGCAATTGTGTTTTCTTATTTGAAGTGTAAATTTTCTTGTTCTATTGGCAAAATCTCTCTTTTACCTCCTCAATCCAAGAACAAATACACTTATTTTAAGAAAAAAAAGACGTATCTAGATTTCGATTTTTCCAGTGCAAAGAAGCAGATTCACACATGAGACCAGGAGAGGATTTAAAGGAGCATTAAAAGCAAACCAGGAGCGCAGAGAAGGAGCATGAACTCATAAAACATTCAAATGTGTGTGAAAAGTAGCTTAGCTGAGTGTTTTAAACAAAACAAGTCTAGATTTCTGTCTTCAAACAGAAACATTTAGCCAAATAGTTGCATTTTTATTTTATCGGGAAACGTTATTGGGATTTATTCTGCTTCCTGTCTCCCTCATCACTTTTAAAACAGAACATTAAGCATGTTCTTTTTTTTAAATCTGGTCCATTACTTCGGCTTTATTCTTTATTTTTGCTGATTAATATTAATATCTCTGCTGTGTTTAGTTGCTCTCTGATTGAAATCGGAAAAATCTGCTGTTCTCCTCCCAGGCCGGTGGCTGCTGACAGACTCAACAGGTTTGGGGAGGGGAAGTGTTGAGTGTGAGCCGAAACCCTGCGGTTATCGTCCCCCCGCCTCCTGTTTGAGATCCTGATAGTTCCTGCTGTCTCTCATCAGTCAGAGCCAACCGAGCGTTCCTGATCCTTCAAAGGCTCCTATCCTGAGGGAAATCTCTCCCACTGCTGCTTCAACTTGGACAAGTAAAAACAATATGGATATTTTTTTCGCTACTCGTTCCCTCCTCATCTCACTCCTCTGCCATCCCCCTGATTCTATTCTCTGGTTCAAAGGGCCTCCTTTATTCCCAGTTTTATTAAGAATCTATTAATCACATTTGTTCTTTTACTCCTCATCCATAACTATTCTCTCATCCTCCTCCTCCTTCTTTTATTGAGCCTCATTTCATCCCACTTTCA